CGGCAAGAGTTATAGGGCCCAGACGAAGAGCGTCCACTCCGGCGAAAGAACAAGCCGGACGCGCGATCAAAAATGTGAGAATGTCAAGGATTGGCTTGCAAAATGCATTTTATATTACCCCTATCATCGGAAATAAATAATGTCATTTTAATATAAAATACTCGTGCTAACCCAGTGGATTCTCACCTGACGGTTAATAGACTCTTGGTAGTAGCTTGCTAACGGAATAGTCGCTTTACTTATATAACGTATATACAGTATGTTACTTACGGATCTTCTTTCCCTCATCTCTCCAAAACGTTGCTGTAATAAACAAAGTGGTAATAATTAAAAAAGTTGTTTATGAATAGACTCTATTAATATTAGAATAACCATTCCAGTGTCTAGTTGCAACGACAGAAACTACGCACATTGTGGGAAGAAACTATAATACTGTTATATTTTTGCCGGGTGAAACTCTGTCAACAGATTCAAAAAATTCGACTCCCTATTACTATGTGTGATTATACAGTATGTGTCTTCGGAAAATGATCGACAAAATTTTCGGAAAACACACTTCCCTATCGAATTTTGCGGTGACTAATATGCTGACAATCTTTATTAATAAAATTTTTTTATCGATGCAATATATAATCTCTTTGTAACGGCCCATATACTGAAATCTCCCTATTAATATTAATATGGACAAAGACAGTTAGAATACTGACCAAGATTACTATTCTGAACTTTTCTGCGAGCTTCCTCAATCTGCTCAGCAGAATACCGTAGTTCCTGTGGACTCTCAATTGGTATTGAAGTCTTGGTGGCTGTATCTTGGCGACTTGAACTTGATGACAATGTCTGAGACGTGCCACATCGGGATTTCTTGTAAGACTGATAGACGTAATTTTTGCGCTGAAAATGAGTTAAATATTATTGCAAAATTAATGATACAGTACATTGATATTTTTATTAATCTCTTACTGTCAGTCCTTGTTTTACATTCCTGATACTTTGCGTTTTGCACTTTTGTATAGATGGTGGCAAGTCTTCATTAATTGAATAAAATCCGATTAGCCTTACGAGGTAGAAAGATATTATATTCGACGTTATTTGCAGTCTTTATTAGCCA